AGCTGCAGCTTCTTCAAACCAGCTTCTTTTGTACCAGATGTGACTTATAAGGAACATCTGGAGAGGCTGTTATTTTTAGCAGGATCCGTGTCATATATGACTGGAGCAAAGTCTGATCTAATTTAACCCTGAGAGCCAACACACACACACACACTCATAGTGTGGGTCTATAGCGCCCTCTAGTGGCGTGCTACTGAACTATAAGAGTCAGAGACATGAGTTTGTTTGATTTTGACATTTTTACAAAAGGCTGTTCTCAAACTTAGACATCCTAATTTATATTTAAGCATATTATTTGTTAACATTTAAAAATGTTATTTCAGACGACTAAATCTAAACATTCGGCTTTATTATGACCAAAGAAAAAACGGTTAGCACAAAAAATTGCCTAAAATCTGTTGAATGAATTTCTATGTCAGACTTCAGTCTTTCAGCTTTTTATAAGTCGTTGTTTTGCTCAAATCTGGTTTGTCTTCGAACTCTGCAGCAGCCTGATTGTGTGATATGACTGATTAATGTGAAAATAACCAGCTTTATGATACACATTTCTTAATTAGAGACTAAACTAAAGCAACCTATCACAAAGCTAAGTGTTGCTTTTATCAGGAAACATGAAGGTGGTCACACACACAAACACACACACACACACACACACATCACATTTAGACACTTACAGGAACTTCTTGCTTCTGTAAAAGTTTTTGCACCAACAGCATTGACTATTAATAGCCTGAACTCTTCTAAAAGAAAGAAGAAGTAGACTTTATTGGATCTGCGTGCTTCACACAACACATTTCTCTAAATCTGGAGAACAGGACGGACCTGTTTAGAGCTCCTCCCTGACTGTACAGGTGTTCAGCTGCAGCTCTTCTGTTCATTGTCCCAAAACATCTCTGGGAAAAAGACAGGCAGTACTGTCTTCCAGTTGAAAGTGATGGTTAATAATTTACCACAGTCTCCATCAGGCCGGTGCCGGTCTGCTCGAGGCCACTTCCTCTCCCCGGGACAATAGGGCCATTTCCTGAGGGGCCAGAAGCCCAAAGACACACAGGCCAGTATTGTAAAAACAGAGACATCCAAACATCTTGTTACTGAATAAAAGGCTGAGTCGGTTGTCTAGTGAGATTCATGATGTCACACAACAAGCTCAGAGCTGAGATAAATAGGTTTTGAGTTTGTGTTTGGGTCTGAATCGACGGATATCAGTCAGAGATCACGTAAAAACGGCCATCCGACTTCCTCGTTGCGTCATTTTTTAATCAAATAAACGAAGATCAAAAGCAAAAGTTAGCAAAAGTCTAAAGAGCCACTGCGCCACATCAACCCCACTCGTTTAATTCCTGGCTGATTGTCAAACTAAAGAGGCCGCTGTGCTCAGACAATGGCACCATTCATGTCCCTGCAGCCCCTGCGTCCACTGCCCATGGACGTCTGATGAAGCAAAAGTTAAAGCCAAACCGTTTTGGCAACATGGAGTCACTGTTCAGTGAACAGTCAAATAATCATCAAACCCCTGCAGCAACACATTAAAACCCAAGCGTGTGGATTAGGCCTGGGGCTGGTTGTAAGAGTCCACACATCGACTGTGACAAATAGAGCGGCCTACATAAGCAGCAGTGACCCAGCATGCCCCGTTCCTCTCCACCACTGTCTCTTTTATTTTGAGAGGCACAGATGATGACTGTCACAATGGCTGCATGGGAGGAAGCGGGGATGATGGAGCCCGAGGCGGGACACCGAGTACAGCCTGACCTATCTGCGTCCATCATCCTGTCCGTGTGCATCCTCCTGCAGTTAGAGAGGCTTCACTGGGCGGGTTTCGTTTACGTTTCTTCATTCACATCCTCCTATTCGGTTTTCATTTGTGTATGAGTGGCAGGAATCCTGTCATGGAAATGTTTTTGTCCACACGGATGAGATGCACATCTTTTAAAAAGTGGTTCTATTGTTTAGACCAGCAGCTGTGGTGATGCAGCAAGACGTGACGAAAAATCTGCTGATCAAATGTGACAAAAAGACAAACTGGAGTATTACAATCAACTCTTATCGAACTACCTGAGCCAGGTGTGGAAGAATAAAAGCCAAGCCGCAGTGTTTAACAGCCGCGGGTGCACGGTCGCATTTGTTCTGTGATGGAAACTTCATCTGGCTCTCCAGCGCCCAACGGGGCGTTGTCATTATTTAAGGGAAAACACCCCGTGGCCGAGGTAAACAGAACAGAAACCACAGGCAGGCCTTTGAGGACACGTGCTGCAGCGTTTCTCCTTGCTCGTCCACGTTGTGTGCCGCTCACACATCCAGGGGGAAGCTGGGGTCAGAGCAGAGCAGCCGCTCCTCCAGCGCGCGTGGTTCGATGCTAATTTCCCTGTTTGTGATGTCACAAACTTGTTTCAGGCACATAAAACCAATCACTGACAGAAAAGCAATGAGCAGATTATTTTTGTGTTTAGAGTTTAGAAGCAGCAGAGACCAACATGGCAGCACGAAAGGATGCAAGTGGCGAAGTCTGCACAACATGTCTCTTGTAAATGTTCCCTAAACGCTTGTCTGACAGCTGGCCGGTGTGCTACAGGTCAGCACAAAACCAGTGGTGTAAACCTGTGGTTTATACCCACAGACCAGTAAGACCAGTCAGTAGCTGACACACACTAAGCACACTCATGAAGCTCAGCAGTTTGCAGATGAAGGATGTGGAGCTGCAAGTCCCGCCCACTAACCTTCACACAATCATGATGTTTTCCAAAGCATCCAATAAGAAAATACTTCATGAGTCGTCAACTGTTTTCTGAAGAGCTGCAAAACCAACGAACCCTTCAGCCATCAGTTATTATCGCAGTGAGATAAACAACTACAGACTCGTGGACTGTCATGAGCACGACCAGAATGAGTCGTTTTATTTATACAGCATTTTATCGTCACAGACATACATCACAAAGTGCCTCTCATAGATCAAAACACAACAAGTCATAAAATCATAATGATCTTAAAACAGAAATGGATTAAAATCAGAAAAATGATGTGTAAAATGTGTAAAATGTGTAAAAGCAGCTTTAAATAAGCTGTCATTTAAGTGTCCAGACTGTGGAAGGTTCCAGGTGGACCTGAGGGCTCGGGTTGGAGCAGAAGGCTTGAACGGTTCAGTAATGTAGGGTTCTAGTCAGGACTGGGTTCATGGGTAACCAGTGCAGAAACACCAGAATAGGAGTGATGTGTGTTGGAGCCTTTAAAAATCATCTAAAAACTCACCTTTTCATCCAGGCGTTCCCTCCCTAAATGTTCAAAAAGATGGCTTTGTTCGGGTTCACACCTTCACTTTGTTTATACTCCTGATTTTATTTACTATTTTATCACTGCTATTGTTTTTCTGATGTTTTTATTGGTTAGAGGTATTTGCCCTGATCTTTATCATGTTGTACAGCGCTTTATGATTTATATCTGTGAAAGGCGCTCTAAAAATAAACTTTTACTTACTTACTCCCTGCAGAGTTCTGGACCAGCTGAAGGCGATTAAACACAAACTGTCGTGTTTCTACTTTATTTTCACGTTTCTTCTATAAAAACTGGTTACTGAGTCAGACAGGCCCGTTGGTATCTGCTGTCTCACGTCCAGAAGGCAGGTGACTCACCGTGCGGTCTGGTTTCGTACATATCAAGGTGTGGCCGTGTCACGCAGGTGAAGTGCACAAGTGCGCGTGTGCGTTTTACCTGCGTCTGATCCTTATCGACTGTAAAATAACAAATAACACGCGTTTCAGTCGACCGGAGTGTGATTTAAACCAAAACAAAACGAGTCGCTTGAACATAAAAGTGAGATTTCTGAGAAGAAAGGAGCGAGTCGGTGCGGCGGGGGGGGGGGGGGGGGGGGGGGGGGGGGCTGCGTTCCGGATGGGGGCGCACCCAGCGGGGCGGAGCCTGCTCCGAGGTGTCGCTCCTTTCACTCGGTTTTTGTTCGGATCTCTGACGACCAGCTGCGGCTGTGGGGGACAGAAGTGAAGACAAATCCAGAAAAGAGTCCTCTGACCCAGGAAGGACGAACCCTGAGGTGGATTCATCCGAGCAGCTTTGGTGCGTAAAGGTACGAACCACCGGGAACCCTGCTCGTGTTTTTACTCCAACCGTCTCGTTCTCTCGTCTTCTCTCACATTCTCTTTGTGTAAAACACGTTCGGTTTTATTGCGGGTTGTTTGGATGCGTTTCGCTGTCTGCGGAGTGAACAGCAGCTCATTTCCGCATGCTTGGGAAAACTGCTGCGGAGTTTCACGTCTGGCTCCACGGCGACCCTGGGTTCTGATGACAAACAGCTGAAGTTGTTTTTCCTGTTCGGATCACCTGAGACCAGCTCCTGTAGCAGCAGGATCCAGCACGAGCCGAGTTTTGTCGCGCTTTTCTTTGCGTCCGGACGCAGCAGGTGAAGGAAGGACCCGACTCGCTTTTAGGGGGAAATGGGGAATATTAGTGGGAAACAACGGGATCAAAGAAATGGGAACGTGCGCAGGTTTTATTTATGTTTCCCTGAAGTGATTCCAGCTTAAGGTTTTTAAAAGAGGGAGTTGCGGCTCCTCAGAGGGACTTGTTCCTGATGGGGTCGGGTTAGAGCCCAGGGGGGTCGAGCCTGACCCGATCCGGCTCTTAACTCATAAAAACTTCTCATTCTTTGTTTAGAGGTTTGCGTTGATGGTCTGGAAGCTGGAAAGAGACACACAGGTCGTTGTCACTATTTCTATTAACCTGGTCTGTTGCTGATTTTTCTTCTGTTGCTTTTGTGATTTCTAAACACATTTGCATCTTTAGTTTACTGACACGTTACTAACTGTAAATAGAATACTGGACAACGCCTCCTAGTGGCCACCGACAGGGGCGTGACCAGAGGGGGGCCCTCTGGTCACGCCCCTGGACACCAAAGGCAACAGTTTATAAGTAAATTTGTCAAAAACAGCATCCAGTAAAAAAGAATGTAATTTTATTTTTATTAAATGTACGATTCAGTTTTTGAGGGCCTGATACCGATGTCCAACACTTCAGATTTATCTCGACTTCTTCATCATTAGTCGCGAGGAACGATCGCTGTAATTTGGTAGATTGAGAAATGTGCCGTGTTTGAATGATTGTAATTGTAGCGTGGTAATGGTGTGTTTGCTGACCCCATAAAATGTATATTAAAAAAGTAATTAGGGTTTCTGATTGGCTACGCCGACTATTGAGCGGTTAGCATTGCTAGGTGTTCCATTTAGTGGATATTTTTATTCATTTATGATCAACTTAGTAAAAAATAAATAGATGCAGCAACATTGTGGGATGTGTCTCTATTCAGCCAATGTGTTTATGTTTATTTATTTGGCAGACGCTTTTATCCAAAGCAACTTACAATTTATAACCATGTTGTGATCTGTGGGGGAAACCGGAGTACCCGGAGGAAACACACGCATGCATGCGGAGAACACGCAACTCCACGCAGAAAGGCCGCAGCCGAGTTTCGAACCTGCAACCTTCGTGCTGCGAGGCAACAGGGCTAACACCTGCGCCACCATGCAGCCCAGTATGATGTACGGTTGTGGTCTTCTTGGTGTCGTTGCAAAGCAGCAAGAGAAAATCATATTTTCTGGTCTAACTCACCAAGTTTAACCCAAACTAGCAGATCATCCAGATGTTTTGACTTATGGGCTCAGAATTCATTTTCATTATCTCTGATCAATCAAAATTGGCCCAAAATCCGATGAGAACAGAGACGTCCTTTGTTGTCCCACGATGGGGACGTTTGGTGAAATTTAAATTTTGGGTCTCAGCATTTCTTTTTGCAAAACTTCAGCTGTCAGTTGAACCATTGTTTGGGGTTCCAGATGTTTGTTGTTGTGATGTTTTGTGCCAGACGTCATCAGAAAGCTGCAGAGCAGAGGCAGCGGTTTCCAGCTGGTTTTTTAGACGAGTGCCTCCAGCTGAGGCTGAGCTGGACTAGGCCACGTGGCTCAGTCCTGACCCGGTTCGTGGTCCAGCAGTGCATTTGGGAAAACCACGGCCCCCCCAGAGAAGATGGGTGGGGGTGACTTACTGTAGATGTTACAGATGTGTTGGTGCGGTGCTAATCCCCTGCCACCTAATTCCCTGATGCTGTCCTACATTAAGAGGCCAGGAGATCCTGTAAACGGTGCACTCTTGAAAGGCGATTACTGGCTGACACACATCCACCTCCTGGCGGAGTGTGCATGTTTGGTTTCTGGTCTTGCCCGTGTGTGTTGGAGCCTAAAGATGTGCAGCTCTGTTACTGATCACACATGTTTGAACACCTCGATTCTTTCTGTTCTGCTTTCAGTGCAAATCTTCATCATTGCAGCTGCTGTCAAGTCCACAAGAATATTCACGCAAGCGGCAGCCGTTTGCTGTTTAATCAGGCTTTTTTCCTCCTAAATGGTGAGAGCTTTAATGCATACAAGGAATGTGCACTGAAGAGGATGGTTTCAGGAAAAGTATTAATCTTTCTCAGCTTCTATTTTACAAGTTTTCTGCTAACAGCAAGTCAGACGCAGCGGTGAAATGCTAATCGAGCATTTCCAGCTGAGCTCTGCCCAGAAACTCCATAAAGTTAATAATTTACCTTCGGCAGTTTGCTTGATTGGATCAAACAAGTAGAAGAAAAGCTCTCTTAACTTAGGACGTCAAAGACCTAATGGCCGCTCCTCACCATCAGTGGCTCTTAAAAGCCCGCGGAGGTCTAGCAGGTTGGACGTTGAATTCGGCTGCTATCTAAAGCTGTCCTGAAACGCCCACACACCCGCTTCCTAGAAACCGCTGAGTCCGACTGTTTTCGTTTAGTGCCCTGATAAGTTGTTCATTATTCAGGCATGAAGGGAGCAAAGTTGATTCCAGATCTGACTCTAAAGAAAGTTTTCACAGCCGGGTGATTTGGCAGAGTGTTGCTTAGCCGTGTGGTGTCTGTTTGCCCTCCGTCTTTTAATTACACCTCTGTGAGAGATTGTTGGGTGTGGCAGAAAGCAGAGAAACTGGGACGCTTGACTTGGTCCACAGGCAACAAAACATTCACAGGGATACTCGTCCTTTCGGTGAAGCTCTCGTTCGCCTTTCCTCAGTGGCCTCAGTGTCTTGTTAGTGGAAAAGCTCTGGCGCTCCTGTTTCAGGAAGAAGTTAGCTGGAGGAGTGTGGAGCAGAAATCCTCAGGATTTGGAGTCTTATAGGGAGCCTAAGTCACTTCCGCACCACGGGTCCCCGGAAGAACGAAAAACAAAAGCAAGTCAACGAGGCTAAAAAACACTATTTTCTAACCCGCTCTGCCTTACGCCCTGGATCACATGTGTTGTACCACAATTTAAATAAAAAGTACCGATGGGTGTTTCGACCACGCCAGTCACGTATTTTGAGATTTATCAGCTTGTGGGAGTTCGTAATTAGCATGACTACACACCAGAAATCAGCACAACGCATATGTGACATATGTGCCCTCTCGACCGGAAAAGGGTGGCTTGCCACCTCCGGGTCGGGGGAGAGGTCCTACCTCAAGTGGAGGAGTTTAAGTATCTCGGGGTCTTGTTCACGAGTGAGGGTAGGAGGGATCGGGAGATCGACAGGCGGATTGGTTCGGCGTCTGCAGTGATGCGGACGCTGAGCCGATCTGTCGTGGTGAAGAGGGAGCTGAGCCAGAAAGCCAGGCTCTCGATTTACCGGTCGATCTACGTCCCAATCCTCACCTATGGTCATGAGCTTTGGGTAATGACCGAAAGAACGAGATCGCGGATACAAGCGGCCAAAATGAGTTTCCTCCGTAGGGTGGCCGGGCTCAGCCTTAGAGATAGGGTGAGGAGCTCGGACATTCGGGAGGGACTCGGAGTAGAACCGCTGCTCCTCCGGATCGAAAGGAGCCAGTTGAGGTGGTTTGGGCATCTGGTCAGGATGCCTCCTGGACGCCTCCCCGGGGAGGTGTTTCGGGCATGTCCTGCCGACAGAAGGCCCCCGGGTCGACCCAGGACACGTTGGAGAGGTTACATCTCCAATCTGGTCCGGGAACGCCTTGGGGTCCTGCCGGAGGAGCTGGTGGACAAGGCCGGGGAGAGGACGGCCTGGAGCTCCCTAGTTGGGATGCTGCCCCCGCGACCCGGACCCGGATAAGCGGAGGAAGACGAAGACGAAAGCATATGTGACATCAGCACATAAGCTCCTCCCCCTAGCGTAGCTGCTACTCACCACGTGACCAGATTCATGGTGGTTCTTCCCTCCTGTGGGAAGTTTGCTGAACTTACAGCCATTTTCCCTCAGTTTTCTCCGTGTCTGGTTCGATGACGTCACTTTGGTGAAGCACATTTGTAGTCCTGGACTTATCTCACACAAAACCTAAAATATCGTGTTTCTCCTCCCCCCCCCCCCCCCCCCC